GTTTGCAACCCCGTTGCCGGTCCCTGGTCCGGTACGGGGGCAACACTGAGGGTTGCGATCCGTTGCCGGACACGGAAAAAAAAAAGACAAAAGACAGAAAAAAAAAAAAAGAAAAGCAGGAGTCTCTCAGAAGTATTATATTTAAAAAGCAAAATTTAAAATGTATAAAATGTGGTATATCCATACAGTGAAACACTATTAGACAATGAAATATCGATACATGCTATAACTTGGATGAACTTTGAAAACATGCTAAGTGAAATTCAGGAGCCAGTCATAAGAGACCACGCATTCTATGATTCCAAATCCATAGAGACAGGCAGCAGATTAGTAGTTGCCTAGGACTGGGGGCTGGAGGAGGGGAGGGGAATAACTGCTAATGGGTACAGAGTTTCTTTTGGGGAAGATAAAAATCTTATAAAATTAGACCCTGGTGATGGTTGTACAACTTTGTAAATATACTTAAAACCATTGACTCACATGTATTAAATAAAAGAATTGTATGGTATATGAATTATATCCAATAATGCTGTTTTTAAAACATACAGACACAGATTAGAAATATAAATATACACATGCTAGAAAAAAACTTCAATTTGGATCATATAGTTTTAAAATTAAGATTTCATGTTATAAAACCACACATTTATAATGATTTCTTGAAAATTAGAAAACCCAAATAATCAAAGAGAAAACCTGAATGATTTCACTGACACAGAAATAACCACAAATTTCCAGATAAGGAATGAGTCTTAGCATCATTTGGATTTTATTTTTATAAAAGGGGTGTTTTTATTTAACTTGCTATCTAGGATTCCTCTCACACATTCACTATTACTTTCTGCTAGCCTCATCCTCCTCCCTCCAGACCTCTGTTGTAATTCTTGAATTGCATAATACCAGTATTTAATCAGAAACTGCTGGATTATCTCCTACATTGCTGAACAGGGGTCAATGGCAGATGCCATAAATATTTTAATGTTTTACAAAGTCAAGGTTAAGAAATTGCTCACTTAGAAAACCTACTTTAATCAGTCTTGAGAGTAGTCAGATTTTTAAAACACCTTGGAAGGAGAGCTTTAACTTCATCCTTCTCTTTGTATTTGTGGGCCTGTGGGTGAGGGATGACAATTACTGGGGGAAGAGAGCGAGAAGTTGGGACCTGAAGATAAGAATGGGCTCCTTACCATTAAATTATTTTCCTTGACACATTTTCTAAAGAATGGATACAGCAATGTGTTGCCAAAAAAAATGAACTAAAAATCTCTAATACCCCATTTACCTTTAGTGTGGATTCTGCCAATCTACATTAGCTGTCTGAATATACAAAATGTCTTGCTTTGATTCTGA